CTACATCTTGAACTCTACACTGCCATCTTCTTTTGAATCCCTGGCCCTCTCATTATATCACCAATTGTGCCTTGTCAAGCCTTAGTCTGGGATCACTCTCACCCACGTGCTGTTGAATGAAGGAAGAGAAAACCATGCAACTGTTCTGATTGGGCCAACTATAAATTTATGTTACATAACCTCAAATGGGCCCTCACTACTGCTGGGCAATTCTTCTATACTTTACTCTTCATAGTGATTCTTCTAAACCTTTTCATCCCTTCTTAGACCTACCATGTTTCCTCTTCTTCCCATCTTCTCAACTGAGAATCTTGCCTTATATTTTATGGAAAAAAAACTGAAGCCATTTGCCATGATCTCCCTCTTCTCCCCTCATCCTCATCTCATCTCACTCAGATGCCTTCTGCCACAATCTCCTCCTTCATTCCTGTCTTGCCCAAAGAAATGGCATTACTCATTACTATGTATGTACGTATGTACCTATCTACCTACCTATAGTGAGAGGCATAGACTATCTAATCTGTTCCATTTTTTCTACCTGGGCTATCTTACTTCTTCTTGGGCAATTTGATGGCCCTCTGCTCCTGGGAGCTGATCATATTAGTTCTGGAGTTAGTGCAGACACCAAATCAACTTTAGCACTATGCACTGCGGAAGTGACAAACTCAAGGGATCCACCAGCCCAGCAGCAGTCATTACAGGAGTGTGCCACCATGCCCAGCCCCGCTATACTTTAACAGTTTTTTTAATTCTCTAGCTTATATGGATATAATTAGTAATGGGGTCCTTTCTAGTTGATAGGAACCACCTGGTTTTAGTCAATAGCAGGGTTTCTTTTGGAAATTGAAGTCTGAAACTTTTGTAGATCTCTTATTACCTTATTACCATATTACCTTAAAAGGCACCTAAATTACATTAAAATTAGTACTTTTTATTTTTCAAATAGATCTACATGTTCTATTTCTCTTTACCCTTTAAATTTATAACTTGCTAAATTAATCAAATTTTTCCAGAAACTTGTTCTATTTTATCTAAATATATGAATAAAGATATATTGAGTTGAAATATTAATCACTTCTCTGAGAAAGACTCAGTAGCACAATTTACAATTGTTCTGATTACTGGAAAAAATGACACAAAATGACATTATTCTCCCAAACAAATAACATTAACAGAGGCCTCATAAAATACCAGAGAGTTCTGACTACTTTATGGGAAGAAAAAAATGTTATGAATATTTTACTGAGATATCACTTCAATTAAATGAGGCCAAAGCAAGAAGAAAATATATGGAATTGGACATTTTTCTCCTACCAGGTTTTGAATAACTACACTGTAGTTGTTAGAAAACCAGAGACCAGATTGTAAATCTATATTATGTGAAATAAGTCATTTAATTCCCACTAATTTTTTTGTTCTCCTACTCACTAAAAATGAAAATGGCATTTGAGCATTTCATAGGACAGAAGTAAATGACCCTGAAGGCTTTAAAGTACTTTACTTGCAAATTCTCATGAAATAGTCAGTAAACAAACTGTATGCTCCACCAGATATAATCAATTTACATTTAAATATATTGCTAAATATCAATTTTAATAAATCCATTCATATTATAGCTGAGCCACAATCACAGATCTGCATAGCCACATAATGAAGACTGTAGAGGAATACATTCAGAAGTTGAACAAAAATTAACAACCTAATTTCATTTAAAATAAGCAAGCTTCCGACTATAAAGTTTACCAACTATTACAGTTACCAGAGAATTTTGAAACAGCGTAATTTTCCACATCAAAAACATCAAAATAGAACATGGAAAATGAGTACAATATTTTCTGACTTCGGATTCCATAGTTTTAGGTTGGTTCAATGAAAAATGACTAATGCCTCTTAGGAGAGATTACTATTCTAATAATACTTCAATTCCGTAAATGAATAATATGATAGAAAAAGCACTGGATTTGGAGTCTTGAGGGCCTATGTTAAAATGCTGGCTTTGCTATTTACTTCGTGTATGATCTTGGGCAAGTGACTTAGCATCAGTTTCCTCATATATAAAATGAGGGGGTGTAGTGGGACAGAAGTTTTCTGATGCAGCTTCCCAGACACAGCATTCTCCCCAACACAAGTACCTTTGGTCCCAGCTTTTCTCTGATGCACTTTCCTAGTCTAGTGCTAATAAAAAGCCCAAGCCATTTGAGACCCAGGTCTTTCACAGTTGGTATGTGTCTGAGACATTAAGTAGTCAGCTAAAACCCTGATGACTGCCTGACCAGCCACATTTCCAAATGGAAAAAAGTGGGATGTTTCCAAAGAGGCTAAGAGCCACTGTATCCATGCTATAAATACTTGTCACATATTCTTACTGTGCTGGGCAAAGTAAACCTCATCTTTTGTTAAATGTTCAGTGATTTACTTGCCTCATCTTGTCCCAGCATCAAACCTGAACAAAATGGGTTCAGAATAGACAAGACTCTCTGGTCCCTAACAGTTTCAAATTTATGATCCTGTGAAAGAATCAGCATGCCAAAATTTTAGAAAGGAAAAGTCTTTAGGTGTGCTCTGACATCTTAATAATGAATGGGCTCTAGCAAGATGAAAAGGAAAAATAAAGCCAAACAAAGAAAACAAACCAATAAATATAAAAGAGTTGGTCATCTAAAGAATATGGAGATAAAAATAAGAATTTAAGATATATCACTTCAAGAATTTAGACTTCCATAGTTCATAGAGCAGAGAATGGGGAACATATTATTGTCTATTTGGATAACACTTGGGTTTCCTAGGCTTAGACACTGATTTAAAATGTAGTCATTGAAAATTATTTCACTACTTCCTAATTTTTAAATGCCCATTTTCCCTAAGCACATTTTGCATATGCTACGTCTCAATCCCTTCTATATGTGCTTCAAACCCACTTACCCATACTTCTCTTCTTCCCAGTTTGTTCTAGTCAGTGACAGGGTGTTGTGGACCCAACATCCCCTTTCTCCATTTACATGCTTACTTTTGGTAAAAGCAAAGCTATGATCTCATTACAGAGATTATTAAAAAATTATATTTTTTGCTACTTTATCTGCTTTGTAGAAGTCAGAACATATGGCTTGTGGGTAGGAATCTGTAAAGAAATAGTCTCCGTTCTATTCCCCAGTATGATCCAAAGCTAGTTGTCATGGACACATTTGGATTATTCAGTTTATTCATTCAGTAACAATTTATTAAGTATCTAGCGGATAAATCCCACATACTGGTTATGTGATCTTGGGCAAACCATTTAACTTCTAGATGCTCTAGGACAGAGGTGTCAAACTTTAGGCTTGTGTAGACTGAAGTGTGCTAGCCAAACTAGATTAGAACGCAATTGAAAAATGTTTAACAAAATAAACAAAAATGCGATACAATGCAGACGATATCATTTGGGGCTTTCTAAGTCAATTTGTGGCCTGTAGGGATCCTTTTCTATTTGAGTTTGACACTACTACTCTAAGAAACCCTCTAAAACTGTAAGTTACAGAGGAGGTGCCCATTTGTACAACTTTACTTGGGAGTTCCCTAAACTAATGAAATCAAAGGCCTGGTCCTTATGTGGTAGGTACTGTGCAAGGTGCTGAGTTTCCTTGCTCTCAAGGAGTTTAAATAATTGACGGGAGATAACAAGAACACAAATCAGTAAGTACACAAACAAAATACACAAAGTAATTTCTGGAGTAGAAAGAGCTACTATTTCTTTTTAAAGAACTTGGTTCTCTGGCAAAATGTCAATGAGGTACATCACTTTCTCAACGGAAGTGTTTTAAGGATGGCAGTTCCCCTTTTTTTGTAGTAGCAAGTACTGGAAATAAAGTCTATGGCTATTGATTGGGGCATGATCAAACAAACTGAGATAAATCAGTTGTACTGTAGTGCAGCTTGGTGCTACAGTGGATAAAGTATGGGGCCGGAGTCAGGAAGACTCATCTTCCTTAGTTCAAATCCGGCCTCAGACACTTACCAGCTGTGTGACCCTGGGCAAGTCATTTAACCCTCTTTGCCTGAGTTTTCTCATCTGAAAAATGAACTGGAGAAGGAAATGGCAAACTACTCTGGTATCTTTGCGAAGAAAACCCCAAATGGGGTCATGAATAGTCAGATACAACTGAAACGATTGAATAAGAAAAATTGTACTGTGCTATGATTATGAATGTGAAGAATATAGTGAAACATAAGACATGAACTGATGTAGAGTTAAGTAAATAGCCAGAAAAACATACACAATGACTAGAACGATATAAATGGAAACAACAAGAAACAACAAAACTGAATGTTGTGTAATTATAATGATTAAGCATGGCTATGAAGGAAAGAGGAATGGTATCTCCCTTTGCAGAGATGGAGGGCTATGGGTGTGCAACACTGCCTATACTGTGAGTCTGGTAATGTTAATTTTGCCAAACTTTTTAACCTTGCCTCCTCTTGCTACTGCCTCTCCAAATTTCCCTTGAATTCTTTGTTATAAGGGATGGTTTTCCGGGAAATTAAGGTGATGTAAAACCAAAAAATGTCATTAAAAATGTGGGGGTGGGGGGAGGAGAGTATGCAAGTTCCATGCTTCTATAAACCTTAAAAAGGCCTTTTGACTTGAAATATTTGAACGTTAACTTAATATTATTCATCATAGGATCACAGATCTAGAGATGAAAGGTACTTCAGGGACCATTTAGTCAAATTACTTCATTTTACAGATGAGAAAACTGGGACCCAGAGAGGTTAAGTCACTTACCCAAGGTCATATAGGTATAAAGAAGGCACAATTTGAACCCAGGTCCTTGGATTCCAAACCCAGTACTCTTTGCACTGTACCATATTGCTTTGATCATACAGCCTGAAACTGGCTGACCAACTGGTAATTTTGTCTTCTGTTTTGTTTTTTTTTTAAACACCCACTTTATCTATTCCAATTCATTTCTCTGAAAAGCTGATATAGAATTACCTACTCAATTAAAAACACAAAACACTGATAATAATTTATAAGCAAATATAGCTTCATTTCACTAAATTTATTTGTATTTTACAACTTGCAATTATCTTTTAATTTCTTTCTGAGCTGTATGTGTGCATTAACACATGTATATGAAAACTCCTATGTAATCCTTTAAAACTTTATTTGGTATACCTCACGTTTTTGGTGTTCAGAAGTTCACCTTTATTTTTTTCAATGCAGTATGACACACATAATTTTAACATTATTTCTTAGGCTTGATCTATAGCAATTATTCACATTTTAAAAATTAGGAATGGGATACCTAATAACACATGAAATGAAAAAAAAAAACCAACAACCTGGCTTTGAGTCAGTACATATAGCTATTTTCATGAACGAGGATGAATGTAACAGTGTATGTACTTAAATGAAGTACGTGGTTGAGCACATTCCAGATGTTTAATGCATTCTATAAGTAGGCTGCTTTTCATTTTGGTGGTTATAAGTCCATTTACCTTGCAAGATATACCACAAAGGTACTTCTAGAAGTAGGGAGACCACATTTGAATGACAAAGCTTCTATGTGTTTTATTCTCCTTTGTAACGAGGGGGCCTTTTTTCTTTAAAAGCCAGAAGACCTTCAAGTCTGTCTTTGGTTGAAATAGTCTAAGAACAACAAAATAATGTGTAAGTGCTGGAATGACAGATAAATGGAAAAAATACATAAACTCTATGTTTTTTTTTAAAAAACAAGTTATAGATCATAAAATTTATGAGAAGAAAAGCAAAAGAAAAAAATACAATAATAATAATTTTCACAATTCTTTCAGTTATTTCCCCATCAAGTATGGTTTGAGAGGCTTTTTTCTCCTTTGGGATATGAAAATGTTGATTTCTAAATTATTTTATTCAAGCCCACTAAGCAGGTGGAAGCTACATTTTCAGAACTACACAAAAATATATTTTGCTTTTTCAGGTAAGTGCAAACATGACCTAAAATGAATTTAAATTTTGTGGAGAAAAATTATAAAAACTCACATGGTTTATACATTACATCTACTTTTAACTGCCAAAGTAAATACACTATTTAAAATAATTACTTCAAAAGGTTGGGAAAGGACTCAGAACTATAGTTCATTGTATTGAACTTTTAACAACTGAGAAGATATTAATTAGGTAGATAACTAATCAAAATACTGAATTCCGCTCAAGGACCAATATTCTAACCTGATTTTGGTGTAGGCCAATGGTGTCAAACTCAAATAGAAACAGATCTCTGACAGCTGCATATTGGCTTAGAAAACCACAAATTAGTATTATCAATGTTTTATTGTATTTTTATTTATTTTGTTAAACATTTCCCAATTACATTTTATCTAGTTCTTGCCAGCACTGGGAATATACATTCCAGGCTCTGCTTGCCTTGAATTTGAGACCTCTGGCGCAGGATAAGACCTATATTAGACTAAATTACCAGATTACTGCTACAAACACATATAAGAGCAATCTAAATATTTAAGAAGTTTTCATAATTAATACAATCTAGTAAAGAGAATTGGTTCAATTTGGGGGACAAAGGAATTCACTGGTAATACTAAAGCACTAAAAAGTGTTAATTTTAATCGATCTCTAGATAACTCTTGTTGGAGTTATTTACATGAAATCAACAAACACATAATAAAAACATATCATAAGCCAAGAATTATGTTAATTACTGGGGATAAACAAAAAAAAATTAAATCCCTGCCCTCTAGAAACTTACATTCTACTATTGTTAAATATTATTTTAAAAAATTGATTGAAATCTAATTTAACTTTAAAAATTACCTGAGCATAACAGGCTTCTTCTATTGCTAAACCTGTGATTAAGTCCACCTGGGGAAAAAAGATATTACTTATTTTAGAAAGAAATAACTCATATGACACATATACTATAACCCAGTCATTTAACACAATAATCTTTTAAAAACAAGTTCCCTTTTCTTCTTTGAATCTGTAAAGACATTAGTTATATGTTCTCTTGGTCCTAGAAGGAAAAGCACTTCTCTTCATCTCTTCCCATAATTTAACCACAGAATGCCCTGGTCAAACCCAAGGTTTAACTGAATTTTTTCACTATCTAATGGCAAGATCAATGGTATGACTATCTGTGTATGACTAAGGTGAAGTAGAGGGATAGGTCATGGGAAGTGAGAAGGTTGAGGAACTGAGTGGTTAGGATATTTGGAGAGTCAATAATGTCCCCTATTATGAGGTCAGGAGTTGGGAAGGAGAGAAAAATGAGAGCTAGGTTCTAAATTCACTGAGGAAGAAGTGGAGTGACCTGGGGTCTGTAGACAACAGGTGCCAGGATTTTGATTGGGTAGTAGATATGAATAACATTAACCTCAAAGAAAGGTTACCGAGTGATGGAGACAGGGAGAGAACCTAGAAGTGGCAATGGGAAACAAGGAGTATTTCAACTCTTCCACCTCAACCAGTGAACTGAAGGGAATGAGTGAGGGTGCAGCCAGGACTGGAAAAGGTGACCAGGGAGTCTGTGTCATCAGTGGGAAGCCTGGCTTGAGTAAGAGTTAGTAGATAGGAGTGGGAGAGAAAAAGATTTAAGATGAAAGGAAATTTATTGCTTATGGAAAAGTATTACAAAATGAATAGTGACAGGGTTGGGTGAAGTTAGGTTGAAAATTTGGGGTGGGAGGATTGAAAGGGATAAGAATGAAAAATCAGATGGTGTGGGTAGGGGTGGAGAAGGGAGTTTGGATGATGATCTACAGGAGTGTAGAGTTAATGCTTGATTCCCCATTGCCACTTTGAGGTTCTACCCATACCTCCCTTACTCAGTAACTTCTCTTCCTTTGAGGTTCATGCTATTCACATCTACCACCCTATTACTACTACTTTCTCTGGAGGAGAAAGTGAGGCTGGTGACTTTGCACAGCCCTCCCTCACTTAAATCCAATTCACTTGCATGTCATGGCATCACATCCCTGATGTCATGGTCTTCTTTGAGAATGAAAGACAAAAAACAACAATCTTGTTATATGGTGTTAGGAGTAGGGCTAAAAAGCTAGTTTCTGCCATACTGCTATTGTTTTCCCAGTAGTTTTTTTTTTTTAAATAATTATGAGTTTTTATTGCTGTGGCTGTGGTCTTTTGGTTAATTGAACACTAGGATACTAGGTTGATTTGCTTCAATATGTTGAGTACCTAATCTGTTTCATAGATCAAAAAACAAAATTTTTAACCAGTTCCAAACTGTTTTGATGATTATTGGTTTATAGTATGGTTTGATATCTGGTCTTACTATGTTCTCTTCCTTCCCACTTAATTTCCTTTGGGATTCTTAATCTTTTGTCCCTCTAGATGAATTTTTTCCTTTCTTCTGTTATTTTTTAAAAAATTCTACAAAGTGACCTTTTTGAAGTTTGAAATGTATGGCACTGCATAAGTACAGTGATTTCAGTGGTATTACCATCTTTATTATACTGGCTTGGCCAAACAATGAACAATTACTATTCCTCCAACTAGTTATGTCTATATATGTGTAAAGAGTGTTTTGTTGTTTCATTTATAAAGTGTCTGTCTATATTGGTAGATAGACTCTCAAATGTTTTAGATATTTTATATTTACTTTAAATGCAATTTCTCTTCCTACTGCTTCCTGTTGAGTTCTGTTGGTAATAGATAGAAATACCAATGATTTATATGGAATTATTTTATATCCTGCAACTTTGTTGAATGTTTCCATTAATTTTTAGTTAATCCATAGCATTACCTAAGCTATCACATCACCTTCAAAAATTAGCAATTTTGTTTTTTTTTCCTGTGTTTCAACTGGATTATTTAAATTCTCCAATTTGTCTTTAATTTGGGTATTTTTGTTTTTATAAATATTTGTCTTTTATTCATCAGTTTTATTGGCACGTAATTGTCTGAACAATTTTTTTCATGATCTTTTTTTCAAGTTCAATTGTTTACATGATATGATATATGCTATACTTTTTTTCTATTTCTATCCTTCCTCTAATCTTCTGACTTTTAAAATGTTTCTGATCATTTAATGGAGTCATTAGTTTCTACTTGGTCCATTCTAATTTTTAAGGAGTCTCTTACTTGTTAAGAGTACTTTTCTGTCTTGTGCAAAGTAGTTACTTTTTTATTCAAGTCTTTCCTCTGTAGCTCTTATTTCTCTTCTAATTCTTTCTTCTAGCACTCTTTCATTTAAAATTATTCACCTTAAAATTCCTTTTTAAACTCTTGCTTCATTTCTTCTAGGGATTCTAATTTATTTTGTAGCCTAGTTATGTTTTTCTTTGAGACCTTACTCATAGGTATATGTGGAATTATCTTTCTCTTTTGAATTTGAGTCTTGGGCATCCCTAGTATCACAGCAGTTCTCTATTTTTTTTTCTTACTTATTCTTCTAGCCTTATTTGGGATTTTGTATTAAGGCCAGGTTATGTGCACTTCTGGTGAGCCTGTTGTGGTTTCTATAGTCTGGTCCAACCTATCTGGTGTTCTGGGACCTGGTCTTGCTAGGATCAGAGGTACAGTGCTTTGTCCTGTTCTATTCCTCAAGTCTGCTTCTAAGATCCTCTCCTCTGGTTTGGAGAGACAGGGCCTCAACCTTATTCTGATCCTGTTGCATGGCTCCAAGATTCCCTCTCTCCTGGGTTAGTGTGACATTCTGTGGACCTGTTATGCTTACCAGGGTCTGGCTTAGATACTTCTTCTCCCGGGTTAGATGGATAGCACTACAGCCCTATTCTTTGCCAAAGGGACTAAGTTGAAGGTTCCTTTTTGAGAAAGAGCTGTGGACACTGTACCCTGGGGTGAATATAAGATCCCAAACTTGATTCCAGGGTCAGAGCAACAGCCCTGCTCTACTCTTGAGGTTCGGGACACTGATCCTAGCCCACCTGGAACTGTTTTAGAGTTCTTGCTCTGTGGTTTAAATTTTTTATCTTGTGCTGAACAGATGACCCATTGTGGTTTTTTCCTTAGATTTCTGACCACTACTTAGTTTGTTGAATGTCTGAGATCTTTGTTACAATAGATGGAGAGGAATCTATGTTGCACTGCTTCTTCCTACTCCATCATCTTGGCTGGTCTCCCTTTACTACTGCTCCTAACAGGCCCTTCCTGTGTTCCTCTACCCATTCCCTTTAAGTAGGTGTTTTCTAAGGTCTTGTTCCTAGCCTTCATTTTTTTTCTTCCCTCTATATATACTTCCTCCACTGTAGATTTTACTCATTTCCTGATTCAGATATCTCTTTGTATCTCAAATCTCTGAAACTGAGATCTGGGAAAGATCATAGCCTAAAAAGGCCAAGGTCTCCCACTGCTTCTGGGGGTCATCTCCAGTCATCCTGACCTATGCCTTGCCACTGGACTCAGATGACTCTGGAGGAGAGAGGGAGGCTGATGACTTCATAAAGCCCTGCCTCACTTAAATCCAATTCACTAGCAAGTCAAGACATCATTGCCCTGATGTCATTGGTCCTTTTCAAGGACTAAGAACTGGCCAGTTCCAGTTGGGCAATGCTCTATTTCCTTCCTTTGTTCCTTCCTTCTTCCCTCCTCTCCCTCTGTCCACATGCTTTGTCCAAAGGAATATAAATTTTGATTGCTTAAAATCTCACAAAATATCATGGGGTTTGGTGGCTAGATTTTTTTTTCTCTTCCCTATTTATTTATTCTATAATTTTTTTTCTTTGAAAAACTGGACAATTAGCTCTTTTGTCTCATATAGTTTAATTTATATCTTCTTGAAATAGAACTCTGGAAAACCAGGCTTTGATAAAGTTCATTGGGATTCAAATGGAGCCTGACTATGCTTTAAACCCAAATCACTCTGGCTCTCATTGACTGACCAATAGCAGGCCCCAGCCCAAGCTTCTCTTGCTCATTGTTTAGGTTTTGATGGCTCAGAGTGAGTACAAATAGCAATTGTTTCTGTTCTGGCCAGAAACCCTGAGGGTCTTCCCCTCCCAGACTGATTCTTTGAGTAGGCAAACTAAGTCATCTTTTACCTCAATTCTTACCTAGCCTTAAATCATTGAATGGGTGTTGCCTCAGACAAACTGAAACCTGGGAAAAACCTTAGCTTAGAAAGGCCAAAGAATCCTACTGCATCTGGGGCCATCTCCAGTCATCCTGATCTACGTCGTGCCACTGGACTCAGTTAACTCTGGAGGTAAGAGTGAGGTTGATGACTTTACAAAGCCCTGCCTCACGTAAATCCAATTTACTTGCAAGTCAGGACATCACCCTCCTGATGTCGGGGGTCCTCTCTGGGAATAAAGTACAAATAATAATTTCAACTCTCTATATTTAGATCTAACTGTCTACAGTACATCTCCCGCCTATGGCTCAAATTCAGCATGCCCCAAATGAAGTTTTTTATTTCTTCTCTTAAACTTGTTTTCCTTCAATTAGGGCAAAGCCATCTGTCCAAACATTCATATTTGAAATCCTGTGCTATCTTTGATGTTTTCCTCTCCTCTACCTTTCACATGACACTTTAATCTAACCCACTCCATCTGCCTCTACAATATTTCTTGAATCCACCTCTTCTTTTCTATACCAGCACTGTTACTATACTAGTCCAGGGAACTACTCATACTAATTCCTAAACTATTAAAACAGCTTCCTAACAGAACTTTTTTTTTAATGTAAACATTTAACTTTTTTTTGCTAATTTCATGGAAAAACAATTTTTAACATTCATTTTTAAAAATTCTGAGTTCCAAATTCCCTCTCCCAGCCTCCCTTCATCCTTCATTGAAAAGGCAAGCAATTTGATATAGGTTATACATGTATAATCATGAAAAACATATTACCATATTAGTCATGGTAAGAAAGAAAAGATTCCC